TTACGCCATCTACTTTTTCAATGGTTTATTCTACTGGTGGTGGACGTTTGGATTAACCAACTGATCAATAAATGATCGATGGTTCATTGTGAAACCAGATGGCCTGGTATTTGGTTGAGTGAAAACAAATGATCACAGTTTAGAAAGATGGGGGGGGGGGGGTTTGGTTGTTGGGTGATGGATTCACCATCTCGATCGAGGCAGCAGAGAGGTGGGGTGTTGGCATCAACAATATTTTACCCTTTACAAGTACTCTATATATTGCACTATTATTATATATTCATCTTCTTTTAATCATTCGGTTGTATAATTGATGTTGTTTACTTGTTCATATCGTTCCGTCAGGTGACTTTAAATTAAATAATTATCATAATAATATAGTCACAAGTTAATTTTGTTAATTACATTGAATCTTAATATATAAAATATTTATATATATGTATGTATATATCATAACCTTACGAAAAATAAAACGAGGAAGGCACATATTAAAAGCCTTTTCCCTATTTTCGAATCATGCCAAAGAATGAGATTCTCTCTCTCCACATACACCCCCTAATAACTAATGGATAATGATCGGTAGCCTTTCCCCTATTTCTTAATAAATAGTGAAAAAAAAAAGGGTTGCCGGTAGCCACCAATATAAAGTGCCCAATTGAGGCACAAGGTGGATGGAGGTGGAAGGATGGATTGAAAACTTGGAAAAAGTTCTCTCCTAGATCCAAGGGCCAGTTCATATCGATCATATGATCATATCACATCCCTCCATGAGACAGAAAAGAGCAGGTCCCTAAGACAAGAAACCCTAACCGATATTAATTACCTTAAAAAGAATATAAAATTCGAGTGAAGTAGGGAGCTTCCCTACACAACCTTCAATTCTCTAATATTGCAGAAGATGAGAAAAATTAATCAGGAATGTTATGGCCAATCGGATCATTGAGCCTCTATCCATGTTTTGAATCTTATGATCCACATAAGTCATTGAGCCTCAAGTAGTAGTAGAAATCAAGATTCAAAATATCGGTATGCCTGATACGTCAGTATGGGTACATCGGGTGAATCAATACAGCGTTTCAGGCCTTTTTTTTATTTTTGTTATGGCAACTGGTTAGAGGGACAGTTTAGGTCTCCTACCCCTTGAATCGATCAGACCTCCAATACATCCACTGTAGGAGTATATCGGAGGAGTCCCGGAATGATACGTATCAATTAATATGGATTTATACATGTCAATACTTGAACTTTGGTAGAAATTAAATTGGATGCAACTGAGGCCAAATTGGCTTGGGTTGAGGTCTACTGTTTGTCTAACCTAATGTGTTATAACCTCAACCTTAATCCTAACCCAGCCTCATATTCAGTATGTGGTTCTGGAATCTGGAACCGGAGAGTGTGATACTTAGGCACTCAAAACTATATCAAATGGGTATCTCCAAATACTTAGATTTGGAGAGCAGTAATACGACCATTTGTCGTAATTTCAACACTGCTACAGATATGATGTATATATGAATGTGCAAATGTTTTGAGAAATGGGATAGGTAGGTTATGTCCGACTAGTGCCTATTTGGTCCAAGAAAAAGAAGAAAGAAACAAGAAGAATGATCCAAAAAATGTGTCCTTAATTTTGAAGATTGTGTCGTTTCATAAACATATGTCCCTTGTATGAAGAACCCAAAGAAAAGAGTAATTCCTACTTCTGTTTTTTTTGGTACCATTCGGCAAAGAAAACAATATTGCAGGTGGTGGCCCATGTCACTAGGGTTGTTTCTGGGTACCATTGCTGTTTCCAACAGTTCTATGTCTAATTTGTATTGTTCAGCCCATAGAAACATTAATGTACCAGCAAACACAACCTAGTTTAGTAGAGCCGACGATGGCCGATACTAATTACTTCTCTCCCGACCAGTTATGTGGGAACACTGAAACGAAAAACTAGACAAAGGAAAATAATCTCTCCTCCATGCTTGATTATGGTCATCATATCTGCTATTCTGATCCGCTACTTCTCTTACTTTTCATTGGATTTGGTCTGCTAGCTTCTTTCATACTGATCTTAAAAATTATCTTCGTCTAGGATTAGTTATTCATTCCAATATGCATGTGTCCATATACATGCCTACACACATTGCTATATTCGACCCCCTTGTTTTTTTCATTTATCTTGGCGCAAAATAAGCTATTTTCATTTCATTACTAAACTTTTACTTTATATATTCTAATTTAATTGAACAATTGTGTGTGTGTTAATTTTTCTTTTCGCCATTGAATAATTTGTGTTAGTTTTTCATCTAATGGTGCAATTAAAAATCCAAACAAGAAAAAATATTTTTTTTGGGTTTTTGGGAACAAATTACTGATAAACAAGCTTAAGGGCTAAGGTTGACAAATATGTACAGAAGATACATCTCTAAAAAGATGATACAATATATTTGTTAGGGTCGCAAATGGACCGGATCATAATGTGATTCAAATTCAAATATAATCCTATTTTTTCTGGATTTGAATATCCTTTTGTTGGATTGAATCAAAAACTAAGATATGTTTAAAAATTGGATTTAATTTGGATCACCCTCAGTCAGATTTTTGTAATTTGATTTTTTTTATGTTATTTATGCTGTTTAAAAAAAAATGCTCATATTTTTCTTTGTATAAATAGTTTTGATTTTTCCTATTAATAATTTGTTAATTTTTTTAGACCTATGAGTAATTAAATTGGACCAGATCATATTTGGTTATCAGCCAGATCACCAGATCAAATATAAAACTTATATTATTGGATTGGATAAGAACATATCCCAATTCAAATCTGATCTGATATGTTTACATCCTAATATTTGTTGTTGTATGTGTACAGCCATGGTGTTAAAGAAAATGGGAATGAGTGATAACATTGGAAACAGTTTTGTTTGAACAAACTTAGGTAGTGTGCTTGTCATTCATTGGCTTTAAAATTGTTTGTTGTCTGAAATTGATCAGACATTAAACAGTGGACAAAGTAAAAGTACTTCCCATGGATTATTCAGTGAGGAAGGTAATAGAGCTAGCTTGTTCTTAATGTCATTGGCTGGCTGTGATGAAGGCTTGGGATCGAATATCACCTTCACCTAAGCATGGAAACAGGGTAGATTCGGGAAGGATTTTGTAAATTGTAGATCCTACCTGCCTCCCTAGACCTCCCAACCTTATCCTCTACAAAAGCCGTAGTGAGTTGCATTTTTAGAATCCAAACCCTCCCCGACCCTACCCTCTTCACATTTAAAGGTGAGGTGGATTGGATTGGAGTGTTGGGTTTTGAATTCGCATCTAATTTCTTATTGTTTCTTATTATATCTAAGTATCAATTATCATTCATATAAAATTTAAAATATTATTACAATCAAGATCTAATACATAAGTTCATATGCTTTCCAACAATATATAGATCAGGGGAGGCAGTATGCTAGCTATGCCCATACATAAAATCCCAAAATCCCCAAACCCTTTCCTACACCAAAATCTATTTTTTAATTAAGGAAAGAAACCCTCTTTCCATTGAGAAAGATAGTTGGGGTTTGGGAAAAGATTACCTCCAATCGTCCCTTTGTCATTGTGTAGCCATTCACCCACCCAATAAATTCAGTGAGAGCGCGTTAATTAACTGAACAAGTGAAGGTAATTTCATTTGAAATTTTAAGTGGAAATTAAAACCCATGTATATGGGTATTAATTCACGTGGGTTTCTTTGAATTTACTTACATGATTACATCAAAGCAGTCAACACTCTGTGTAATGTAATGTAGTTATTCTCGTGTCATGTCATTATCAATGTAATGCCAATTCTGTCCAAGTGTCTTAATCTCCTTTAAATACTTGGCTCCGTTAATTAATTTGTACAGAGCTATTGAACTGTCGTCAATGATATTTTTTGGTAAGAAACTAAGATCATTAAACTGTCGCCAATTCTGCAAGTCAATGATAGATCATTAAACTAAGAGTTTATCTTAAAAAATATTACATGTTATAATTTTTAATATATAACATAACGACAGCGTTTTCAGCCTAAGGGTTTCTCCAAACTTACCAGAACCTACAACACGTAAATAAACATTACTTTTATTTTTCTACGATGGAAAAGAATTACAAAAGAATAAATGGAACCCATCCACAGACAACAATAATGATCATCATCAGTCTTAGTCCAGTGGTACCTTCTGGGTCCTATTGTCATAATAAAATGTGCTAACTTTAACTCTCCTCTAAATCTTGGCAAAATCTATGCTGCCCAAAAGACACATGATATTGGAAGAGCTTTGAACATTCAATATTATAGTTGAATTCATCAATGTTAAATGAAACAATTATTATTATTAAAAACTATGACAAAATTAAAGAAAGTTGGGAGGGGGACCTCTTCAAGTCCAATGTCAATTGCATCATGTTTTTCTTCAGGGATGGGGCCATGAAAGCGCAATGCCTCCGACCCCATCATCTCTCTCTTGGCTTCTTGTCCTTGCGGTAGTTGCACAAGCTACACGAGTGATGTATTTGGATTTACTCTCTCTCTCTCTCTCGGGTTGAATGAGATTCTTTGGGGATAGCGGTAGTTTCAAAGGTGGTTTTCACAAAGATTTTAAGGTCGAGGGTCGTAGTTAGGATGGAGGCTTGCCCCCCGCACATTCTCACTGCCATTGCTCTAACTCCCTCGCGGGCCCACCCCTTCTACTAATTGCAGGACCCACTAGCCTGATCTTTCTCATTCTGGGGCTAGGTGGGTGGCCCTTCTCGAAGCCCACCTCCCACCTAGGCGAGTAGTAAAAGGCTAAAAGCACACTAACCCAACTTAAAAGTACACCATAGACTACGCACGAGCTCAACCATTTCTCTCTCTCTCTCTCTTCCATGAATCCCCCCGACCTTTCATAGCTTCATGTACTCCTTCTGGTAGTGGTCTCCCACACATATAAATAATTCACCTAGCTATATGGGCACACCCACCTCATTACTTCTATCATTTCTCCCCTTTTGCTTCAGAACCTCTTCTCCTCTTCTTTCTACCGGTTTTAAGGCAAACCCTACTTGTCAGAAGATAAGCTCGGCCCCGGCTGCATCTCGGAAGTCCGAACATATTATCGTTCCATTTTCTCTTTCATTACTTTCACTTTGGATTTGTCTGTTGTAGATCTGTCTTAAGTTTCGAGGTCATATCAATCCTCTCATCCGAATGCCTGGCGAGGAAATGAGTGTATCGGTAAATGGTCAGTCTCGGGTTCCTCCGGGATTCCGGTTTCATCCAACAGAGGAAGAACTCTTGCACTACTACCTGAGGAAAAAAGTAGCCTACGAGAAGATCGACTTGGACGTAATTCGTGATGTGGATCTGAATAAACTCGAGCCATGGGATATACAAGGTCCTCTATCTTTATCTTTCCAGAACTATATTTTCTTTTCTTCCCCGCTTGTATTCTTTCTTTCCATATTCTCTAATTTCACTCTATCGTTCCAATTTTATCGTTTATCCTTTTTCAGACAAGCATTCTTTGATCTTTAAACGGCTTTACATCTCTGAATTTCTTTGTGGTGGCCCTGATGGTCGTCGTACGTCTTATTGACTTTAGTTTGGACTCTTACAGAAAAATGCAGAATAGGATCCACTCCTCAAAATGATTGGTACTTCTTCAGTCACAAAGACAAGAAATACCCGACAGGGACGCGAACCAACCGTGCCACGGCGGCCGGTTTCTGGAAGGCGACGGGCCGTGATAAGGTCATCTATAGCAGTTTCAGGCGAATCGGTATGAGGAAGACACTGGTCTTCTATAAAGGTCGAGCCCCACATGGACAGAAATCGGATTGGATCATGCATGAATATAGACTGGACGATCACACCATTGATACAAACGTAAGTCCTCTTCCTCCTCTTTCTCTCTCTCTCTCTCTCTCTCTCTCTCTCTAAGCGAATCTAAAATGGTGTTGGATTCATTGCCTCGTAAGTCGTAATCCCTTTCCTTCTCTTGACAATGACAATATCACTGCACAATCCAATCCAGGCATCTGGTCTGATGGGTGAGACTACGCAGGAAGAGGGTTGGGTGGTCTGCCGTGTTTTCAAGAAGAAAAACCATCACAAGTGTTTAGATAGCCCTAAGAATTCGTCAGTTACAGTCGAAGAGAACACCCAGATACTAAAAACGAGCAACGATGGTTCATTGGACCAGATTCTTCAGTACATGGGAAGGAGTTGCAAGCAAGAAACCGAAACAAACAATAACATCCGTATTAACACCAGCAGCAGCAGAAACAATAACATCCGTATCAAGCCGATCCAAGTATCCGTCAACAATGGTCTCCACGAAAGATCCCAGCAGCAACTTCCGGCATTGGAGAGCCCAATTCTTCCATTTCTCGGAAAGGATAGCACAAGGCTCGACCAGATTCAAGCTTGTACCAGTCAGGCAGGCTGTTATCAACCCATCGATGTACAAGACCTACCATTGATCACCCAGTCGGAACCATCCGTCACCAACCAGGGCTTCAGTGGCTGGGCTGCTCTGGACCGTCTGGTCGCATCCCAGCTTAACGGTCAGTCGGAAACATGCAAGCAACTATCATGCTTCGACAACGATTCCAACATGGCCTTCTGTTCACCCCCTGATCATGAGCTTCAACTACCTCAACTACGTGGCTCAATTCATAGATCATCGTCATATCATACCTCCCAGGATTACAACAACGAAATTGATCTATGGAGCTTCACTCGATCATGTTCTTCGTCGTCGGACCCACTTTGCCACGTGTCCAACTCCTCCACCTAACAGAATATCTTCGCACAGGAAAGGAGTTCCCATGGAGTCAACGACATTGTGATTACGTATGAACATATAGATGGATAGATAGATATAGATATATATTAAATAAGACGAAGAATCGGTATTTCCAGGCTTCCAGCTTCCAAGAGGGGGTAGCATCGTTCAAGCTGTTAACCATTTTCTTTACTTGATCACGATGCCTTTCGTTTCACCTCTGCTGTCAACAAATATAGCAGGTTTTTGAGTGGTGTGATAATCTAATCTCTTTCTACCAGTAATTAATTGTGTTCCAACTTTCTTTGTTTTCTTTTTACGTTGTTAAGGGTTGCCACATATCCTTCACTACTGTATCATGCAGCTCATAATAAGCCTTATATTATTTTATTAATAAATAGATGTAGATCATCCTCTCCTTAGTCCTTAATTGATTGGTCTCTGGTCCGACCCGAATGGCAACCCAAATGAAAAAAGGGAATAACCTTTTCTAGTTGAGATACTTGAATAATGAAGTGGATTTTCAACACCGTTGACACTGGCAAAGAAACAATAGAAAATAGGGGTTCGAGTTGGATATAATTCTATAAAAATTGCTTGAAAGAAACAATATCATCTTTTTGTTTGACAACTTTTCTTCTAAAGCAGGTGATGTCCACTAATAGAACAGGAGATGGAAACAACACACAAGAGAATTTGATAGGCTATTTATTACTTTTCAAGTGTAGAATTTAATACAAAATTGGGTAAATTAAAAGAATATATTGTATATGTTATGATCGTGAGAAATGAACCACAAGAAAGAAACGTAGAAAAAGAGAAGAACACATAAGAATTATCGTGGTCCAATATTATGAATTTGTGCCTACATCCATTTGGAAAATCCGTCCAAAATTCATTATTCTCAATGAATAAATAAAGCCGGCCTTTACATGACCCGATTGGGCGTCTTAAAGGTATACAACTTAGAATGAACAAAAGTAAAGCATTTATCAAAAATATCCCTTTTAATAAGGACAATGCATGGATGAAAAATATCGTTGGCTTCGCAATTTTTTGAATAATTTAATCGAATAATATCAACTTTGGAGGAAATTGAAATACATACTTTTTTTTGAGAAAGGCCAAAACAATCCACAAATATATATATATACTTAGAAGGAACAACACCATGCATCAAAATACAAGTTTTATTTATTTAAAAAGGTAAGGTGAAAGTATATTAACGAAATAAAAGTAGACAATTTTTAAATGGTCAAGTAATGGGATTTAATACATCATTTACTTTGTCGGAAATTTTCAAATACCAACTTCATATATAGGGAGAACAATAGTCAAGAACGTCCTCACCTACTTTTTAGCTAAAGTATTAGAAGAAAAAACAACGAACCTTTTGGGAAAAAATATCATGAAAGGCATACACCCGATTTGGTGTTTATTAAACTAATAATTGTAAATAATGAAAATCAATGTTCTAATGTCTTGTGCATTTATTAAAAGAATACTTAACACTTGTGCTAAATACTATGCATCATCCTTCAAAAGTTTCTATCATACTATATTTATCTTTCATGCAAGCTTTGTTTTGCTCAAGTTTTAGTCAAAGTTTGCTATGATTGCAAGCTCTATTTTTATTTATCTTTTGGCTGTATGATATGGTACATCATCTTATTTACTTTTATGCTGGGGTAATGGAGTATTGAAAACAATAGTGAGGTGGTGTTTGATAACATCTAATGTTTAAAAAAGTTGCTTTACACGGATGTACAATCCGTTTGTGTTTACGTTTGAACACAAGCACTGATTATATAAAATAGGTCTACCAATGGTAAGACATGGTCTAGTCACTTTAACACGGTTAGACGAGTTCCAAAACCTTGCCAATGTCTTTAATGCCACCTAAAATTTTCGAAATGACCCATATTGCCCCTTCTTTTAAACCCAATTCGAGTCCTAGTTTGATTTCTTTCCTCTCAAATGATACAAGAGGAACCGTGACTCTACTGTATTTTGTCAATTGAGAAGGAAGAAGCCAAACAAGTCATTGGAAGGGAGAGAGAGAGAGAGAGAGAGGGGAAGAAGGAAACTATGAGATCTAGAGAGAGAGAGGGAAGTTATCTTTGCTAGTTTGGTGTTGATAACTATGGCAAAGAGGGAGAGAGAAGAAGAGGAGGAAGGGAGAGAAAGAATGAGGGGCCGCCAGCAATTCGATCGGGTCTCTCCATTTGGCATTTGCTACTAGACGATGAAGCTGTTCAGTAGCTTGAGTTTGAAGAAAAGAAGAAGAGGAAGAACACACCAATAGCCTATTTCCAAGGGCAAAATAGTAAAGTAAGTATTTATCAAATGTTAAAAGAACATTCCAACACAAAAACTCATCATATATTTATTTTGAAAGGCTCTAAAAAATAGAGAAAGCATTTTTTACACTTCAAACCTAAAAAAATAGCTTCTTGACTTTTCAAACATCAGAATTTAGTGTTATCGAACACTACCATAGTTTGGTTTAGAAAGTGCTTTTGGTGTGGTTTTGTTTTTCCTGCTCAAAGAAGCACACTTTTGTATTTGAGAGTTGAGCAAGAACAAGGAAAAAGTTATTAGCAAGAAAGTAAAAATACAAGCAATAAGACTAAGGAAGGTAATAAGAGAAGGAATCATCTAGATCTTGGAATTTGACTTTGTTAATTCGGCCACCTGGATGGCATTGCCAACGTAGACATGCCGTACATAAGTGGTCCTGATATGCGTTGCCCAATGCCCATGTTCAATCTCTACCCCACATAATAAGCTCCATGCATAACCACCATGTAGTACTAGCTAGACAGACACATTTGCCCAGCCATCTCAATCACTAATTCTACCTTTTACTATTTAAAACTCTTCGAATTAAACAGATATTCTTTTTCCATGTGGAGGACCTTCTCAACTAGGAATTTCATGATGACCAGAAATAATATGGTATGGTATTCATTTCATCTCTTATCTACATTCCCATTCTCTCTCTCTCTCTCTCTTTTAAGATAAAAAAAAAATAAATAAATCATTTATAAAAAAAAAAAAAAAGAGAGAGAAAGGATGCAAAGCAGCTGCACAACAACAGCTCAAACCACCCTTAAAACAGACAATGAGTACTATAGCAAGGACCAACCAAAGCAGAACCAATACCAACCAACCCCCAACCCATCCCCATTCTCACTCCCATCGCAACACTTCCTTCCTGTCTTGAAAATGACAACAAGTCCGTCGTCGTAATACTAAAAAAATTAAAATATTTTGCATAAAAGCTAAGTCTAGGTAGGGCCCATCTTGGTGGGCTTCAATGATTTTATTGGCTTGTTTCACATTTTTCATGGTATATTTTTGTTGCACATTTCTACATTGTATAATTTTCACATACAAGTTTTACCGGAATTTCAATGTCGTATTAATGGAAGAATTCAATGTATGATGCGGATGCGGCTTTGGCCCCATACATAAGCAAGCATAGGAAAGAAATTTTGGCTGTTTGGGAAAAATAACCTGGGCTGTTTTGGAACTTACTGCTCACGACATTGTTATCATGGATGTTTCCAACCCAACTGAATGGGATAAAGTGTCCTATACAAGAAGTTTCCAACCTTGGCCTATTAAAAATTAAAAATTAAAAAAAAAAAAAAAATTCAACCCAACCTCATCCAGTTCCAAATTTTACCCTTACATAGAGATAGAGATCTACCATTAGAAATATTTCCCTGGACTGCAATGACTGATTGGGACGTTGTTAGCACTGTGTGTTGGTAGCTGATGGAAGTAGGGTTGGTAGTCACTAGTGAGTGATGGTATGGATAATGGATGCACCTATGGGCCCGGTGACAAACACAATATTGGTGAGGCTAGAGAGCATGCCCTCCCGCTTGTTTGAACCCGTGGCTCCTAAAGCAAAGGGGATGGGAGAGGAGTGACCAACTGAACAACTGGATGATGAGATGAGCCACAAACACAATGCATCCAAACACAGCCCGATGAGTGTCAATAACAATAAGAACATGCCATGAATCCAGGACCAAAAGTTGTCTAGAGAAAGCCGAGAAAGGTAAGAAGGTTCTGTTAGTGATTAAGACATGTCAACAGACCCAAATATATAGAATTACTAGATCAACCCTGCTTTTATACGACACGGTGCGTGATCGCACATCGCTAAAATTAGTAGCAACAAGGGTTGAGAGGGGCATAGTGATAACGTTGGTAGACTACAGTGATGGATGAGGCAAAAGGCAATGGAAACCGGTGGTTTGAACTTTGAAGCCAGAGTTGGAAACTGGGCACACCCTGTTTGTGATGAAGGGAGCACACCCCTCATCCACAGTCAAAAGGTCCTCCTTTGAAAATGACTATGTAACCATATGCAGGTAATTTTTTAATATATATCACCATCCTTATGCCTTTCAGATGGATGGATGTGACTCACCATCCATAAAAAAGGAAACTAAAAAAAAAAAAAAAAACAAAAGTATGCTACCCCCAACAATGTATATAAATATACTTACTTAAAGGAAATGACCCTCTCTATTCATCAAAACTGGATTGAAATCATCCTGAATTTCCTTGGCATTTCGTAAAATTTTGGAGTTTCTTTTTTCAATTTTAATAAGTACCAACAAAAATTATTTAAACCGAAAATATTTTATCTAAATTTATATTAGAAAAATTTATGATGTCAAAAAGACATGATATGAAAAAGGCTTTAACCAATTAAAAGTTTCCCATGAATTTTGATGAAAAACCCACCTAATTTTTTTTGGTAGAAAAAAAAATTACAAGATTGATTATCACTTTTGTAATGCTGGTTGATTGGTTATTATAAGGGCTCATTTGGTTTACAAGAATAAAAGTCCAGAAGTAGAATTGAAATATCCACCTGTTCGATTGAACGGAATCAGAATCCCATTCTTATTCCTGATGGAATGGTTTTCCCCATTTGAGGGAATGATCCTTCCCTTCTCCCCTGGGAAAGACTATCCATTCCAACTATTTCTGATTCCAATTTCAATTCCAATTCCAATCTGAACCGAACAGGTAAGTGGTACAGACTATTCCAATTCTAAGGGGTTTCAATCCGATCCAATTCTGATTCAAATATTTAAAAAATAAATGCAATTTTGTTTTTATGAGTAAAAGAATCATTTCATGTACCGAAATTACAGTTTGCAAAAGCCTTGAATTCAACAACTCCACCATCTCCAATGGCAATAGCTAGACCCACTCTTTAATATTACATGTATATTGGTGGTTTGGTTTGTCATACTTCAATCCAAATCCAAACCACACGACCTCTCCCCAACCCGTCTTGAATGTCTCAATCAATATTGAAAAAATATTGGATGTCCAAGTTCAATAGCCTGGCCTGTCAATAGGTAAT